GTGACGGCTGAGTGGAGGGCCGTGGACTTGGCCCCGGGGAGGGTGACGGCTGAGTGGAGGGCCGTGGACTTGGCCCTGGGGAGGGTGACGGCTGAGTGGAGGGCCGTGGACTTGGCCCCGGGGAGGGTGACGGCTGAGTGGAGGGCCGTGGATCAGCCCTGGGGAGGGTGACGGCTGAGTGGAGGGCCGTGGACTGGGCCTGGGGTGGCTGACAGCTGACGGGCTTCCTGAAGCAGGCCCGGACTGAGTGTCGTGAGCCCCGGTTTTGCTCTCCAGGGCTCGAGGAGGTGGCAAGCGAGGAGCTGGAGCCGGGGCTTGAGGACTCGGCAGAAGACAGCCAGAGCGAGGAGGACAGCGAGGGTTTGGACGTGATCTCCAGCGAGGAGCTGGATGGCTGTAGTGACGACGAGCCCAGCGAGGGCTGTAGCGGGGCCCCGGGCGAGCTCCTGAGTGAGGAGCTCGAGTGTATCTCCAGCGAGGACGAGGCGAGCCCGGGGGACGTGGAGGAGCTCAGCGAGGAGTGCGAGGAGCTGCTGAGCGAAGACAGCGGGCCGGAGCCCGAGGCGCTGCCCGCGACCTGGGGGCTTGGCTCACGGGACGTGTGTCTGTAATAAAATGTTTCTGCAAACTGGTGCCGGAGACGGTCCTTGGTCAGGGAGCGGAGCCATCTTGGAGAACAGCGAGGGACCCCCACCGGGTGGGGCCCTGGGAGCCGTAGAGCGGTGCTCACAGGCTTCCTGTGGCTCAGTCAGAAGCCGGCGTTCTGGCCCGCTGGGCCCCGGGAAGGCCAGAGCGGCTCCCTAGGCCTGGGGGCTGAGCACAGCAACCGAGGCCTCTCGGTCCCAGAGGCCAGAAGTCCAGGCCAGTCCTGGGAGGGAGCCCGTGCTGCAGGCCTCTTGTCGGGCTCCGGTGGCCTCACCCGGCCCTCACATGTGCATGCCTCCCGTGTCTTCACGTGGTGCCCCCTCTGTGCGCGTCTCCGTCCACATTTTCCCCGTGGACACGTTCGTCATACTGGATTGGAACCCTCTTGGTGAGCTCCCCTAACTCTACCCGCGGCAAGGACCCTGTGTGAGCAGGGCCACACTCGCTCACGGGCCCGGAGATCCCACATCATTTTGGGGAGGCCGCAGTCCTACCTGTGGCCTGGTCGTCTCTGAAGAAGAGTCGTCTGTGTGCTTCGGAAGCAGGAAATCCTGGAAGGGGAAGTTGGCAGAGAGATGGGCTGGGACAGAGCCGAGGTCAGGTGTGCGGCGGGGGAGGACGAGGGGAGCAGGTGGCCCTCCGTGCTCATGGGGGCTGAGACTTCACAGCGAGGGAGAAGCGTGCAAGGAACAGACTTAAAACCCACACGACTACATCACGTGTTAGACCAGTTTCAGCCGTGCTGAGAGCCGTTTGTAAGCTCCCCTGGAGCCCGCGGTCCTGCATGAGCGAGGGGATCGCAGAGCAGTGCTGGCCCTCGGGCTGCTGCGTGGCTTCTCTCGGGCAGGAGAGCCTGACGCGGTGTGCGGTCTGCACGGTGGACGGCTCTTGCACGTGGTGTGTGGAGCCAGCGCATGGAAGGAGTCGATGTTGGTGTGAAATTGTCCTGGCAAGTGAGCGGGCGCCGTGCTAGCCGTCCTCGGCTTCTCCCTTCGGTGCATGCTTGGC